AAAAAAAAAAACAAGTGCAATGTGCTTAGATAACACAAAAAATTAAAAACAGATTTCTTGGTTAAGGAAATACATCTAAGTAAACACTGCCAATTTCATTAGTAAAGTGATAAAACAGTAATATTCATGCATGAATAGGTTGTCCATGTTTATACAACTGACTATATATGCAACTGTTATCCTTCTTTTGACCTGAGATGAATTAATATTACTGTAAACATTCCTGATCAGACAATACATCAACAAAAAAATAAAACCTTTTCTCAGCAATCTGTAATGACAATACCTTCAGCAACATTACTCCATAAAACCTTGCTATAGACTTTAGTTAATAAAGAGCTCTGACTTAAAGAGAATTTGACAAGCCACAAAAAAAAATTAACTTACTATTCCTTAACAGGACAAGGTAAATTTTGGTTTATTGTGGGATTGTGAAGATATGCCCTTCTAAACTTGTTTCTTTTGGAAATACAAAGAATCCGTACTCAATGAACATGTAACCACTTCCCAAGATGATTGTAAACTGTATGAACTGCAAGTATGTACTAACAAAATAAAAAATTAAATAAAAAATAAAGCACTTTCCATTATGGATTAAAAAAAGTGAAACAACTTTAAGCTAAAGTAAAATAACAATCTGACTTCTTAGAATAAGGTTTTCTTTTTTTGTTTATTTGTTTTTTCCACTATTGGGGTTTGCTTGCAAGGCAGGTACAGTGCCTCTGAGCTGAATCCTCAGCCCAGAACAAGGTTTTAAAAGTTAAAATAAATGACCACACTACTCTGGGTAAAATCATTTTATTAACTGACCAAAGCACTTCATTTTCTTTTCTGATTTGAGGTAAAATCATTAAACACATCTCACAAGAAAATACAATGACTATTTGACTACAATCACAAGAGTTTGCAACCTCACTTGTTCATTTAATACTTTTACAAAGTCATACAACTGTAGAGTCTACTTAAGCTAAGTTTAATGTTAACAAAGAGCACTATCCAAGACTAGACACTTGATTGCTACTTTCGAAGTGGCTAGTTTTATAATGACAGAAGGAAACTGTTACCTTATTAATATACTTTAAAAACCACTTGGTTAGTGACATGTACTCTTTCCTCATTCTTCAGTGTGTGATCACAGGTTCTCAGGAAAGTACATGCCTGGTCCTGTGCTATATGCCCCTCTTGCACTTAACATGCTGTCAAATAAACATTACTCTGCTATGAACATGGGAGATTGGGAAACCAGTCCTACAATCTTCTTCATGTATTTAGGGATTTTTTTCACAAAGCTGTCATTTAAATGTTTAGATCTTGTTTTAATCTTTTTTTGGATCTTGTTTTAATCTTAATTGAATGTTGCTGTTTGTGTGGCTATAGGAGGATAAGCACCACAAAGTGGTCCAGAAACATAGTAAATATGTCTCCTAATTGAGCCCAGCATTGAGATTTCCTTTTGTTATTGGACAGCTGTCTTTATACCAAAGCCTTTGGAATACTGCAGATTTGCTTTAAAGGTAGATAAATCATGCAGTTAAGTCAATTGAATATAAAGGATTTATTTAGAAAAGATCATGATTACAAGTTGATCCTTCATTCTTGGTGCACATTTAACATTTTTACCTGTTTGTGGAAATACCCAAGTCTTACCTGTCGCTCTGGAAAAACAAATTTAAATTCATCTTGTGGTAACTACATATAGAAGAAAAACTGTATTAACATTTGCATTATAGCACTGCAGTTCACTTTCTGGATTTGTGACATACAAACATCTCATGCAGTCTAAGAAGTTAGTTTTATCAGTGTCACTAGTGATGTTAATTAGAAAATTTACAGCAAATTCAAACTTTTCTAAATATTGAAATCACTATGTTTTAAAGACAGACTGGAATGTTACAAATGGTTCTGAAAATACAAAAATAGATATGCTTCCACTGAATGCTTTAATCATTTTTCCGAGCATTCTCATCTTTTGGTTCATCCTCATCAGAGTATACAGTAGGTTCCTCCCCCTCTTTCAGCAGCTTGCCCACGTGATGATACTTGACTGGAGGTAGAAAAGAAAACACCAATGGTCAGTCTCATGCTTTATAAAAGATCACTGCTACATTTCATTTAAAAGCATTTATTAGGGGCCTGCAATCCACTTGGCAATGCGGTAGGTTTCTTGAAGGATACAAAAGTGGTTTATACCGTAGTTCTTGACAAAAAGGAATTACAGTTTTGTTTAAAACACAGAAATATAAAACAGGAAGTGATGTTTGGCAAGAAGTATGCAAAGTAATGTCAAAACGATTTGTGTATATAGAGAGTATTTTGAACCAAATCTCTTTATGTGTTAGTCAGAAGGGCTGCAGCATACGTCATGGAAGGATACGATGTGGAAAATGTGTGGAAGGATTTGGTAAGAGAGATACTTCCTGAAAACAAAAATATGTACAAAGTATATAAGCAAGACTGAACATATCTAGGAAGCAATTAAGAGACCACGTTGTCAGGTGTGTGGAAACAGTAGGAGATAAGATTTCCTTCCCAGTGTGGGGAATGTTATGAAAGACCTGAAAGCCAGCCTGAGGAATATGAATTTATAAGTAGCAAAGGGCACTGAAAGTATTATGAATAAAGGAATGATACAGCAAAATAGAGCTGTGACGAAAATATTACCACTGTGATATATAAAGCAGATTCAGTAAAGGGCGCCTAGGAGCAGGGCGATCCTGGGGCTAGTGTGCAAAGCCAGATGTGAAGGAACCAGGGCTAGGAGTATGGCAGTGTCCATAAGAATAGAATGGAAAGAATATAAGACACTTCAAAAGAAATCTCAAAATATGAGTTAATAAAATGAAACCTAGCTAGCCCTTGATCAAAATGAGGACTCTATTGAGGGAGCCACTCCGGAGGGGCATATAACTAGAGAGCCACAACATGGACTGGGAAGTGAAGTCGGAACTGGCAAGAAGCAGGTCCATGGGAATCTTTGACAGAGAGTTCAATTTTAGGGATAGAAGCCACATTGTAGGGAGTGGGGAAGGAGGCACAGACAGGAAATGAAACAGTGGCTGGGGAGATAGTGAAGGGACGGAATATAGTCTAGTAGACAGGATAGTAGGAGACAGAATTTTTTTCCCAGCATGAGGAAAACACTATTGGTAAAGGATGTGGGAATGGAGCCAGGCGAGGACTGGAGATGTTGGAGACGACAGATTTAAGAGTATAAACGAGGCAACAAATCACTGCAGCCAAAGTAAAGAGCAGGTCTTCTCTTTCTGAATATGGGTAGTAAAGAGAGAAGCAAACAACCTGTCCAGCCAGATAAGCAGAACTGCTTTTGTATGAAATAATCATTGGTAACAATCTAAACTTCCCTTTTTAAACATAGCATAAAGGTTCCTGAGTTGCTCAGGATGGTGCAAGACAAATAAAAGCCAGGTAGGAAGCCTGTCTTATGGGGAATCAAATCCACACCAGCTTTAAGTGTAGCTGAGGTGTCACAATAGTTTTGAGGGGGTAGTCCCACTGAAGAAGGCAAGCCCTGGAAATTAGAGCTTTGTGTATTATTGATATCATACAACTCATTAATCTCTATCAAAGCAAAGGCATCTTGGGATGCAAACATTAGCAACCATGATAGGTAGCTGAATTATGTTTTCAAAGTAAAAAAAAACTTGCCACTACCTTTGGTTCTCTTGAGATCCACATTCAAAAGGTGGAGCCATATCTGGCTAATTATAAACCCAGAACTCTCTGAGGTCAGCAATATTTTCAAAGAAAATGGTTGGATATGGCCAGAAGAGCATGTAATATTTAACTGATTATAAAAAACGGTAAATAGAAAGAAAGCTCTATTTTAAAAGAAAAATCTTCATCAAAGAAATGGTCATAGCCTTCACATACTTCTCTTAAAATGCAGGAAAATTATTCAAATTGATAGTAGTGAAATCTTGCTGAAGTGACCATTAAACCCACAGGACTTGGATTTAGCAGAAGCTAATTCCTAAATTCTTAAGATATGAAATTTAACCCCTTATTTGTACCCCTTCCCCAAGATAGCCCATAACACAGCAAAAACAAATGTCTCTTTTTTTTCTTTCTTTTCTTTTTTAAAAATGCAGACACTATTGTTGTTGGGCAGATTATAAGCATCATTTGCGGATAAGGCCTATAGTTAGGCTCAATTAGATACAAAGAGAAGCTATTTTGCAGAACACAAGTCTCCCATTCTTCAAGAGAGATGTGGGCTGCTTTTAAACCGCAAGCTCTACAAGAGAGGGCTTATACCCTCTTTCTGTAGCCAAGAAGGTCACTGTCCTTTCCCCTACACACCCAAATCCTAGCATGAACTTGACGTAAACTTCTGTGTAAAACTTAAACCAAAAACCCAAATTTCTCTAGAGAAGAAGCTAAAAATTGGTATGCAATCATAGCAAGTGACTCAGCACAGCTACAGTTGCTTCAAGCAATTAACTTGATCTACCCAAGATTCAGGAGCCTGTCAAAACACAACTAAGTTTCTGGCTGCTTAGTAATAACTATGGTCTTGCCATGAGTCTCCATTACTGGTAGAAATCCGATCCAGAAACAATTTTTTAAAATGCTTACAAGTGAACTGAGAATCCCAGTCATTCAGAGACTCCTGCTGGGAAGGCGTGAGGTCAGAGAGGTCATCATACTCATCCTTCAGTGCTTCCTTATCCAGGCAAAATGTGGCAAGGCCCCTGGATGCATCTCTTCCGGCAAAGACTCCATATGGTCCCTCTTTAAAAACAAAATGAAACCAAGACCAATTCTTTATTCAGATAATACATTTTCAGAGGTTGATGCACAGAAAATGCCTTTTTTGCAATATCCTTTGCGAGACCCTTTTTTCAATATCAAATTTCATTCAGAAACTGTAAAGTGATATTGATACTTCGATCATCATGTAGGGAACATTGGAAGATCCCCTGTCATTAAACTACTAAGTAAACTAAAATTAAATAAAAACGCTACAAATTTTTAATCTACAATTTGCAAGTAAATGATATAAAAGTCATAAATGGTTATTTCAGGAGTGGTAGTAAGGAGTGATCCAAGATAATATAGACCATGCGTTAGAACGTGAAGCTGGCTATGTTCTAGGCATTTGGGCTAAGCCACTGAGAATTATGATTTTTTAATAATTAGTAATATGTAAATGAAAACATATCTCTATAAATATATGCTGATATGTTTTAATGAGTCAAAGGTAGATCTTTGGTTATGAGGCTTAATTGAACATTAACTCATGGCATCTGCAGGATAAATCATTTTATAGGTTATCATAGTCCAAAAATCTATCCACATTATGAAACTTTCACTGTCAATAAATAAGAGACACAGAGGAGATGGCTTTGTCACATTCTGTTTTCAGTGGGTTTAAAGAGAAACCGTAAAAATATGAAAATTTTCAGGAAAAAGGGCTGAATCAATACCTAAAAGTAGTTCTATATAAAGCTCAGAATGCTGTTAGATATGTTATACTGAACTTTTATCTGAAAGGACAGTGAATTATGCTGTAGGCACTTCAAAGTAGATGATTAGGACCGGGGGTTTGGCTCAGTGGTTCTGCCACCTGCCTCGCAAGTGCAAGGACCCAAGTCCAATCCTCAGTACCAAAAAAAAAAAAAAAAAAAGTAGATGATTAGACTTATTTAAATATTGCACAAGTAAATGAAAAAAATCCATTGTACTTTAAACAGTGTCTTGTTTTACAAGTACATTGAAAAACAACCTTGATATTAAAAAAGTTGTTTGGTAACCAGTATGCCAAATTTCAGTATAGCCCAGTCACCTGAAATTTCAATCTAACAAGACATTTTTTATAAATTAGATGAATTTTATGATCAACTTTTAAATGCAAATAAGATTCATCAACTTGTAAATGCAATTAAGATAAAAAATTTTAAAATTATCATTATATGCTGCCATTTCCACTGAGGATTAAAAAGAAAACATTTTTCACAAATTTGTCCCTTAGAGATGATAGCACCAAGTGTCGGAAAATAGGCAAACTGTACTGATTTGGACTTCACCATTTCAGAAATTACAGTTACTGGATTAGTAGAGTGGGCCTTTACGTAACAATTGTCATAGAATAATTACGGTCTAGGGGGAGCATTAAGCCTTTCACTACTATATATATTCCCAATGAGCTACATACATCAAGAGATACCTTTTGTCTGTGTTGCTCATTGCTACATCCCCAGCACCTGCACAGTGCCTTGCATACAGTAATAAGCACTAAATGAAAAAAATTTAAGTATCCCTTGTAATATGATGCATTTCCACTGTAACACTGTCATGTATTAATGGGCCCATTCCAATGGTAGGGAGGCTAGAGACTTAAGAAATTTCACAATGGGCCAGCCTTGTCACTTTTTGGAGGGGAAATTAAGGCCCAGAGGGAATGATGATTTGTACCAGATTACACAGCGGGTTAGTGACAGAAAGAGGACTAGAATGCGAGTTGCTTGACTCCAGTCTTGTGCTCTGTATACAGATCGATATTCTCTCCAATGACTTTGCAATAAAGACAGGCATTCTGTCTTTATTTATGATTATATTTACTGATAATGTGCTACTACAACGTCAAGTATAGTTTCCAAATTACTGTGCAGTTACATGCTCACAGAAAGCAGGTATTCTAAAATTTCCACAAGAAAAAACTAAGTGGGAGAGTTCTGTAGGAATCATCCCACATCTGATTTTGATTAGCTGGACTAGGAAAGCAAAACAAAGGAGTCGATATGACCTGTTTAGTGCAGGGTTCTCTTTCCTCTCTCAGACCAGCGAGGATGTGAACACATCCTCTTGAGCTCCCCATGTTTAGAGGAGTCCATTTAGAGAAGTTCAAATCTTCTTCCTCCTTTCCACACAGCAGGTCTTTCCAAATCTGGCTGCTTCTCCAATTCGCCAGTGGGAGCCCTTTCCAACAGGTTCCTGATCCTCCCCAAGAGGCTTACCTGTGGTTCTGGCTGGTTAGGCCAGGAATCTGAATTTTTCAAGTGCATCAGGGGATTCTGATGAGCTACCACGTTTGGGAAAGACCCATCTTTAAGGATCCTTTCAAGCCTGCTCCCTCCAACAGCTCAGCAGTCAACCATCCATGCATCCCTCATTTCCCTTCTGGTCGAATTTTCCTGAAATCCTATCTCCAGCAGCCTTCATAGTCCTATCCCTGTTGCTTGCTGATACTCCAAATCTTTCTCTCTCTCTCTCTCTCTCTCTCTCTCTCTCTCTCCATTTTTAATTTTTGTTTGTTTCTGATTCTTGCTCTTCCGGTGTAGATTAAACATGGTTTTACCTATTAGCTTGACATGGTACCACTGTCCACCACATTTAGCCCTTATTCCTTTCTCAGGCAACCCCCCTCCCCAACTGGGCCTCTCTTGTTCACCTTGTAGCCTCTCCTCATCGATCTGCCCCACAGAACGCACACACACATACCAAATACAGGCCACACACATATCTGACACATGCTACATTCCAAGCTTGCGCACACACTCCAAGCTTGCGCACACACCCCAAACCACAGTCACTCAACACGCACACCGCGCATGCGCACAACCCCCCCACCTCCAGCACGCACAATGCTTCTACCTGCTGCTAATCCCCACCTCCTCTTTCGCTCTCGCCCTTACATTCCGCCATGGCTACTTCGGGCGTCCTAGGCCTTCGTGTCTCCTCTAAGTCTGGATCTACCCGCTCCCATACTTTACCCTGGAGATAGCTTCATTTCCTTTCTCGCGCCACCATCTCCTTCCCAGACTTCCCAAACCCGCTACCTTCGTAAACGCCCCCACACACCCTGCGCTCTGGTGTCCCTTCGCTCTGGGCCT